CCCCAAAACCCCAAAACCCCAAAACCCCAAAACCCCTTTCTTGAGTCACTCTTTGAAAATATAACAATGAAAGCACTAACCTTATGCTTAGGTTATAGACCTCTGGGTTTCACAGAAGAGAGGTCTTGTCTATGACTTCTTGTAGTCTTATAATCGAATGGTAATAATAAGTTTGCCACAAAATATTTCTTTTGAATCGAGAAGACTCAATGGCCTTTTCACAGAACTAGGGATAACAAGAGGCCTATAATGCAGGCCTCATACTTCTAAGCAAAAGTTAAGGACTCAATTTGCTTTCAGTTGTCAAGAATCAATAATATAATGACTTTGAAGGTTCTTGAGGCCTATTTAAGATCTCCTTCAAAATCGAATGGATAACTTTCTTCCATGTAAAAGCATTGACATCTTTTCTAAATTTAGAAGAGATTTTTCTTTGACGTAAGAAGTTCAAGAGGTTAAGTATAGTAAGTCTCTTTGACAAAGATATGGCTTTAAATGCCTCCTGATAAACTTTTTCCCTCTTTATTATGTCAAATATTACAGATTTTGAAAGCTACTTCCTTCCTTATGACCAAAAATATGCCTTTAAGCAATAAAATCGTCAAAAATTAATCGAAGGTAATCAATAAATCTATTTGTCAGGCAAATTAGTAAAATTTTTGAACTTTCAGGAGAATTTTATTCTATTTCCAAAAATTGGCAGTTTATGCAAAACTTTGTACTTCGCCATATTGGCCCGCTAATGGATAGTCTTTACAAGCTATTCATTAAACCTTTTCCCTGTTGGGAGATACTAAAAATGTGCATATACATTCTTGAGAAAATTATAAACTTTCTCTTCAACTGAAAATGGAGCGTTTAGCTCTCTCGCCTCTCAAGAAGCGCATGTGCGATTGGCACCGTTAATTCAGAGAGAGTATTAAAAAGACTTAGTCTCTGACAATATGACTACAATTGCACCAGGTTGAAATTTTTCGCTTTTTCCTTAACATATCAATCAAAACAGCAAGAAATTAGCGAAAATTATTAGATTAATTTCTGAGAATGGATCTTTTAACTTACTTAGCGTATATTTGGCTCTTTAGTTACAAAGTTAAATCTCGTGAAGAATTTACCATTTAGATGAGAGTATAGCTCCTCTTGGGATATAGTGAAGTCTATAAAACCCAAACTCTGAATTTTGTTAAATTAAGGATCTTTTAGAGCCTTATCTTCAACTTACAAACTTTGTTGTCATGTTATCAATAGAGTTACCATGGCAAGTGCATTGAAGAAGTGTTTACTTCGATAGGGTGTAATCAATCATGAATCTGCGAACCTCTAGCACACGTATACCCTTTTACCTCTTCCAATGAGGATGGCTCTAGTCCCGGCTTATCCAAAATCTTCCTTAATCTCCTGTTGCCTTTCTTTATCCTCAAACCTTTTCGCAAGGTTTGGAAGGTAAAGTATGATAGGAATGGAGAATCTGCAGATGAATCTCAAAATTTAACTAAACTTCGATTTTAAAAAAATATTATGATTGTTTCTTCCTAAATTTTTTTATCTCTTTAATGAATCGACTTAATTTGCGAAAAATTCTGGAATCGAACCGATTTATGAACAATTTTTCATATTAATTTTTATTTAGTAAGCTTTAAAGTTGATCAGGACAAAATTTAGGTAAATTAGCAATGAATTTAGCTATTTATCCTCAAAATTCCAAGTTTTGATGCACCACATCCCCTCCAATGGTACTTAGCCTGGTTTAACGAAAATTAAGAAGCTTTGAAAGCTTGATTTTGGTAAATTTTAGTATTAATTAGGGAGTCATTTAACAAACTTATTGCCTTCAGCACTATCGACATTTAATCTTGTTGCTAAAGGAAGCCATGGGCTATTTGGTCCAGGCAAACGTTGATGGATATAAAATTCAAGAAGTTTGCTTAAGAAATGCTCTTTCCATTCCAGGGATTTACTTAAATGGAAAAGGCTTATTAGTTTGAAGATGGTTCTTTAATTTGCTTCTCCCTAATTTTGAGCATTATCTCCTTCAATTTCACAAGTTAAATATCTAAGATAACCTTGAGGTCTTCAAGGATCTCTGTAAGGGTATCGCTAGATTGCTGTGTTTGGAATCTATCTCTCAATTGGGCAATCTTGTCAACCCTGATGCTAAAGTTTTCTCCTGAGGACACCCAAGCTGACTTTATTCTGAGCACCTCTGCGACGAGGAATTTAAATCCTTCTATCTCTCTTAATAAGGTTCTTCTGATCTTTGTGAATATCTCTCGAATTGTAGAAGTTTTTAAGAATGATGAAGATGGTCTCTATCAACTCCTTGACCGTTCTAGGAAGCTGTTCAGAATCATAGAGCGTTTTAATGATCAGCTTCTTAACTATAGGATAAATCACTCATGCATATAACTTAATGTCTCCCTTCAACTTATGATCTTTGGCTGAGAACTTGACTGCAGTCACAGGTGCAAGCTCATTTAGAAGAGAAGTGGTCCTCTCTTGAGATATGGCTGCTGGAGCTCAGGACTTCAGGATTTGGAAAATTTGGAGAAGAGAAGTCGAGGTAATAATTTCCTTAAAAAAGAAATCGCTCTCAAACGCTTAGGAATATTTCTCGTCTAGAGGGATCTGTCTTGAATTCCTCGGTGTTTTGAAGATTTTGGTTTACAACAGAGGATAGTGTAAGAAATATGTCAGTTAGATCAATCTGATCACGTTGCTCTATGATTCTCAAGAATGAAATTCAGCAATCTTTTGCCTCGCGTTGAATAAATAGAGTATTTCTATTAAAATTAATGTCTATTTTGTGGAATTTTTTAAAGGGAGAACTTAGTCAGCCCAATTGTTATCTTGACTTACCTCAAAGTCTGATCCTCTACTAAAGAAGTCAGTAAAGCAACTGGAGTGGGTAATTTACTTTCTTCCTCAATGTCAATTTGGCCTGCCAAAATCATTTCTTGAGGTTTAATCGGAGAATGATCTTCCAAGGATTTCTTCTCTTCTTCTTGGGATATCCTTTTGGCTTGGTCTTTTGATTCAAGTTTTGGAGCCTTCAAGTGTTTGGCGAATAAAGCAGAAGAACCAATAGTGCCTTTAGACGTGCCTAAACTTACTCTATTTTGATATTCAGTTAAGAAATCATCAAAATTTCGCTTTTGGAGCATCCTCTTTCTCTTCAGATCTCTTTCTGTTTCGTTCAATCCTTCTTTAAATAAAGAATTGGCTTCCATATATGTTGTAATAGAAACGATGTGCTCTTGTTGTCTTCCAATCAGATAAGCTAGATCTGCACCGTCAATTATAATTTTGAAATCTAGGTGAGTTCTTTTACCGTAAAGGCATTCAAAAGTTGCTTTCATGACCATGATTTTATCAATTTCACAGTCTCTTGTATAACAAATTAGGCAAGGCATAAGTTCTGCTACTTGGCCCAATATAGAAATCAACTTAATTAGATCCCTATGATCATTAAAGTAGGCTTCATCAATCAAACTTTCAGAACCTTCTTCCTCCAATTTTTCTTTGTAGAACTGATATATCACAGAAAGCTCAATGTCTTCAGCAATAGAGGTTTTATTCAATTTGTGAGTTTCCTCCTATACAATAATCCTTCAATACAGTCATGAACCCCAACCCAGGTGCAGCTTCTCTAACCCCACTTCCCCTTCTTCCCCTATCCACCCCCTAATCCCCCTTCAAACCCCTTCAAAATCCCCCAATCACATTAAGGTGTGATTAAATTCCACTTCTGTCACAAAATCCCGACCAGGCCAGCCGCCTAGAGGCTTACCAGTAAGCTTTCCAGGAACAAATCCTTCTCTTGATCAGAAGAAGGGAGCTCAATTATGTGTAAGTTGTACGGGGGAGTAGTGGGAGAGGAAGACTCCATTTCTTTGAGTTATTATAGATTTTATTTTTAGGTGAGATCAATAGGGATGAGTGATTTGGGGTTTTGGGGTTTTGGGGTTTTGGGGTTTTGGGG